GGGGGGGGGGGGGGGGGGAGACTGCCGCGGGTCAAATCGCTGTTGTCGACCCAGTGAGAGAGCGATGTCAACCGATGCGCCTCGAGGAGAAGGCGTAGCAGGTTAGAAATCTAACCAGGAAAATAAAACCAACGTCTGTGAAGATTTATTTGTACGAGCCTGTGGAAGGACACAATATGGTGAGTGGAGACACTTCAAGTCGAGTCTACTTTACATGTATTATTCACATCTGTCACAATCGACTTTTGTTCAAACACGAGAACTATGATTAACCAACGCAATAGCTAGAGGTCCCCATAAAGACACCAACAACTCGCCAAAAGACAACTTTTCTTTCTTGGTGGATTGAACAGTTGACCAAGTCCCCTCGAACAACCAATTCCCTTCTAACCCGATACTTCCCCTCTGAGTAGCAGAGGAAGAGAAAGACCCTCGATCACGATTTCTTGAACTGACTCTCCGTTTCCAACCAGGTGCGAAAGTCCTTCAAGCCCGGGTTGATCTGCTTCAAGGCGGCGATATCGGCGCCGTATCCGACGTCGTGGAACCAGCGGAACATGAGGCCCAGGTCCTTGACCATCCAATTCACCAGGCCGGCCACGAAGGAGAAGGTGGTGGGCAGCGAATAACCAAGGGTCTGCTGAAAGACGGTGCGGAACTGGTCATAGGTCAACTCGTCGCCGGCCAGCGAGAGTTTGGCGTTCGTGTAGCGCTCGGGCTTGAGGAAGGCCTCGGCGGCGAAGAAGCCAATGTCGCTGGTCGCGATCAGCTGGAGTTTTTGGCCCTTGTCCAGGCTGCGGGCCCAGCTCGACGCGAAGACTTTGCCGAGAAAGCCTGGCACGAGGTTCTCGAAAAAGGCCACGGGCCGGAGGACCGTCCAGTTCATTCCCACGTCTGTGTTCTGTCTGCTCTTGGTCTTTTCGAAGAGGTGTTTTTCGATGTTGTACTTGCTGATGAAGTGGGGGACGGTGGTGGGATCCTTGTCCGATCGAGCAGGCCCGCCGCGGTCGACGGACGAATAGACGAAATGTTTGACGCCGAATTTGAGGGCCGCGTCGATGAGCGCCTTGCCCTGGCGCTCTTCAGACTGTGCACTGGCGCCGTTTCCGATCGCGGTCTGTGACGAAACAACACCATCCATACGAGTCAGCTCCGTTGTTCCAGACCTTTTTTGTTTCTTCTTGAAAAGGGCAGAGATAATTGAGGAACGATAAAACATACCTGAACGCTAAAGACGCCCCATATCGGCAAACTCGACGCCTCCTGTGCCTTTGCGAAAATGTCTTCGGCGGCGTCCATGTTGCCGACGACCAGCTTGATCTTCGGGGACTTCTGTAGAAGTCGCTGGGCGGAGGCACCGGCGGCGTCGCGCGTCAGGGCAAGAATCTGAAAGTCGGCGTTGGCGCGCAGGAGGGCGTTGACGACCGAGCCACCCTGTTTGCCGGTGGCGCCGGTGATGAGGACTGCTCTGGACATGGCGCGATTGTTTTGAGTGAGTTGGAGGTGTGGGTGAGGTAGAGGTGGTTTCGGATGTACTGTACTCTCTGGGTACTTGAGATGTGTGTGAAGTATGAAGGATAGGACTGTTCTCTATGTACATCCCGCGGGATGAAGGGTGTGTTATAAAGGACACTGCGAACAAGGAAAGACAATGGCCCAGAGCAGAGCAGAGCAGATGACAGATGACAGATGACAGATCTATCCATACATCACCTATCGACCACCTGCAGGTATGGACAAGTACCTAATACGAGGTATTGGTAATGGCGAGCCTCTGTCCACCATGTTCGGAAGTACCTGGACCCGAAGATGCGTGTGCGTATTGTATCGCTCGCTGCCTGAGTCTCTCCATTTGTACTATGTAAGTATGTCGTGTACGTAGATGGTTGACTGCCTGTCATCAGTCTTTCAAGTCTCTGGCCAGCTTACTAAAAGGTTCTGGAGAGTAGACTTGAGTAGATACCAGAAGGTCTTGTGTAACCAGCTACATGAGTATTCGAATCTCGTCCGATACATGCCAACCAAACCCTATGGTGTGGCGTGTGGCGTTGGGTGCATCGGCATCTCCACACTCCGCAAGTCTCTTGTTCTTGCGCGTTTTCGGAACCACACACCGCCGAAGCCAGATTCCGGGGCCACCAGAGGCACAAGGAGGGAAGATCTCATCTGACAAATCTACCGAGTGAAAAAGGGGTGGGTTCGGACCTGTCTCGCGCCGATCGATCGCTGCTTCGTTCGAGGTATATACCTCATATAACATCTCCCTGATGGATGCCGGGGCTCTTTTGGGTGAATAATATTCCAGTCGGGCTGACTTGACGAGATACGGACGACCCATGTATTCATGTACCCACGTACCTCGCCAGTCCTTCGTGCCGGTGCTTCGCGTCGTATGTATTCCCCAGGCGCGCCTTTGTTACATCCTGTGCTACTGTAGGTACGCGTCTTTTTGGAAACCAGGGCCTTTGGCGCAGGTGCGTCACAATATGGAAATTTAGATTACCATTACCGTGCATGTACAGGGTAGGAGGTATGCTCCTACACAACACTATATACCCATTTGGTGCATAATCCATGACATCGACGCCGACACTGACAGTTGACAACCGACAACTGAACGCGATAAGTGGGACAAGTCCCCCGAGCAGGAGGTTACATAGTAGACTTGGAAAAGGGGGCAACGAAGCTGCTTCTATCAGCCTCACCAGCCTGTGTCCTTTTTGGAACTGGTCTTTTTTCATGGTCTCCTCGCTTGTCTCAAGTATTCAAGTACGATTATTGAATCATTTTGATCATGGAGTCATTCAATCCCTGCGCAAGAGACTTCTCTATAGATACACATGACTCCCTCACCTCCCCCTTACCACTCCTCTTCCTAAAGGCAAAAGTAGATTCAAACACCCGCCGCGGCAACCAACTCGGCCACCGTCTTCATCGGCTTGTCGTTGTTCTCGCCCACGTCGAGCGGCACCAGAATCCGACTGACGGCGTTATACCCGGCGACGACGGTGGCGAGCTCGAGGATCTCGCGATCGTTGAAGAGGCGCTTGAGGGCGTCAAAGGTGGCGTCCTGGACCTTGACGTCGACGGTGGCTTCGTCCGTGTACCGCAGCACGGCGATTTCTTTGTCGCTCAGACTGGGTGGAGAGTCTGACCCTGACGATGAGGATGCGACACCAAACTCCCCCTTCCCCGCCCCCCACGCCACCTCCAACGCCGCGGCCGACAGCCCCGCCTTGAGCGCCAGCGCGGCGTGGATGTTCCACTCGTATACGGCGCCGGTGAGGATGGCGACGCGCGAGACGGCCAGCTCGAGCAGGCTCTGCGGCACGACCGTCGCGGTGCGCAGCGCCCCCACGAACGCGTTGTACCCGTCCGCCACGGGCGGCGAGTGCAGCAGCGTCAGGTCCAGGGGGATCAGGGGCCGAGGGCGCCGGCGCGCCGCGATCCGCGCGTAGATCTCGCCCACGGACGCGGGGGAGTCTGGTGGGGGGGTTGATGGAGCGTAGGGGAGGCGCATGGCGTAGACACAAGGGACAGAGAGAGAGTCTGAGTGACTGGGCGGCGAATGGATTGATTGATTGATCGATTGACTGTCTGGCGGGCTGACTGGATTCTGCCAATGTGTAGAGAGTAACAATGGTCTGTTGGACGAGGAACACAAGTAGGGACAGTGGGATCAGAGATCGAAGGAGAGTACTCGAAAAGCCTTGATGGTTTGAACAAACAAACTTTTGAGAGAAGTAGGAATAAGATAAATCAAGGGCTTTTTGATGGACCTTGCTTTTTTTTTTTTTTGCGGGGTTGGAAGGATTCAAGCACAGACAGATATCTCATGGAGATGGCGTCCCTGCTTCTTATATCTACCGTAGCCCGCGCCGCACAAGCCGAAGCCGGCATCGGCGCTCGTCAGATTTCGAGACAGCCGTCTCCAAAAGCGAGTTCTCGAAGAGCAAAAGACATACCCTGGATACGAAAAGGAGGGAGAACTATAGATGACCTTGGATAAGTGCCTGTTCAGTCATGGTGATGGTAATTCGTGTATGATTACGACTGTATTTTTTTTCCATATTCAGTACGATTACCGAATTACAAAATTGGGTAAATGGATGGAGCACTAGGACTCCAATCAGGGCGTCGTCGAGAGAACACTTGCCCCCTTTTTCAAAAGAAAACCCGCTCACATGTCGCGTGAAGATCATGCAGTTCATGAGACAAGAGCAACAACGCCGGAAACCCCTCCCATCCAGAAGATCGTCGCTCAAAAGATACCCTACATGCCTGATGCTTAAAACACAGTGTGAACCCAGCCGGCCTTCTGGCCAGGCTTCAACGGCGCCAGCGTGACGTTGTACTCCAGATCCAGCTCGGCCTTGGGGTCGTCGGACGGCTTGAAGTCGAGCAGCAGGTCGTCCTTGACGGCGCAGACCGAGTCGCTGGTCACGTAGGGGTCGTCACGCGGGTACAGCTGCGTGGTCAGCGACTTGTAGCCGTCGGCGCTGATCATGAGGTGGATGTGCGCGGGCCGCATGGGGTGGCGGTCCATGAGCTTCAACAAAACGCCCGCGGGCCCGTCGGTCGGCAGCGAGTACGCCGTCGGGTGGTAGCAGTAGTAGTAGTACTCGCCCTTGTCGTTGGTGCGGAACTTGCCCCGCAGGTTGTTGACCGACTGCGCGTCGTCCTGGAAGTCGTACTTGCCGTTGGCCGACGCCTGCCAGATGTCCACGATCGCGTTGGGGATCGGCTTGCCAGTCTTGTAGTCGCTGACCACGCCATGCATGCGCGTGAGGCGACCGGTCGGATACGGGTCTTGCACAATGCTGTCCCCGAGCTCCCGGAATGGCGCGTGGGGGCTCCAGAAGGGTCCGAGAATCGTCGACGACGTGGGCGTCTCGTCGCTGTCCAGCATGATTTTATTGGCGACCTCATCGACCAGTCTGTACAGTGCGACGTGGTTAGCTCTCGAGTCTTTATATATCGCCTCTGGCAGTTTCTCCCACTTACGATTCAATACCCAACACATCGCAGATTCGCTGTCCTTCGTTGCGCTTGGAGTCGCTGATCTGGCCGATCGCGTTGATGAATTGCACGCCTCGCATCCATTCTTCAGGCGTCAGCTCGGTTTCGCGCACAAAGTCGTGGAGATGTCGGATCAGCTTCCCCAGCACAAATCTGGCCCGGTCGGGAGTCTTGGGACCCATAGCGTTGATGAGGCTGTCGGTGAAGTTGGGGTCATATTTGTGCTCGGTCGCGTGGCCGTTGGTGGCGCCGTTGGTCGTGCCATTTTTCAGGTTGACCGTGGTGGAGTTTTCGACGACGTTCTGGAACGACATGTTGGCAGCAAAGTATATTAGTGATTGAGAAAGGTAAAGGCCGCAGGGTGTAAAAGACGAGAGGGTTGAATAGTAGAAGAGTAAAGTGAGAGAAGATGGTGGCAGTATATATACAGCCAACACCACACGTTTGTCACTTCTCACCAGCAGCCGGCACAAACACTCGGCTCATGACGTGCGATTCTTGCGAATTCTGGGGAATCAAGGGGGAATCACTGTCCCTACGGAGGCTCATTCTCGACCAATTACGGTCATGTCAAGTCTAAGCAGGTCGGGATTATAGGTGGAGGGAAGGACGGGAGTGACGGGAATGGGCCTCGTAACTCGTCTTGTGTCGGCAAGTTCGTGCCGCCTCTCGCTTGGTGGAAAAAGTTCGAAAAATCGGTAGTTGAGAGAACGAACTGGACGGGATCGTAATCGTTGTTGATCCGGCAAGCAAATTCGGCATCTCGCCATCTGCGTTTGACTGTTTGGTCAGACGGCGCCATGCGGGGCTTTTTCCGGGGCTGGATTGGCCCAGCGTCAGACGCATACAATTCCAATACATACGCACAGCGCACACTGCACAGTGAAGTGAATGACATGGTCGGATATGTCTCCTACACCCAACAAACATGAAACACCATCTCATGATAGGCACATGGACGCCGCCCGGGGCCATCTTTACGGTTGAATTCGACGACGAAGCATGGACGTTGAGGTTGGTCAAGAAAACACCCATTCCTGCGGATGAGCCCATCTCATGGATGACATTCGACGTGAGTACTACACCAGAGAGAGTGACATACCCAACTAACCACTTCCCTCATCAGCATGCACGGCGAAACATCTACGGAGCCTCCATGAAGAAATGGTCCAGCCATGCCGTCAAAGCACCCGACACCATCTCGCATGAGGTGTCACATCCCATGAACCACGACCGTACGTTTGGTGACTGGACGATGTTGATATCAGGCTGACAACACGACAGCTCGGGCTCAGAGTGCCAATACCAGGACGAGAGCCATCTTTGTCCTGGCCGCAAAAAAGCCGCCCTACTGCGTCTATGGCAATCCGTTCTACGAGCATGCGGGCTATGGGAACGTCTTTTCCGTCGATGACACGGGCAAACTCGACAAGAATATCCAAAACTACGAATACAGCGAGAAATCGGCCATCCATGGCATGGTCTTTGACCCGACAGAAACCTTTCTCTACTCAGCCGACATGTGGGCCGACAAGATCTGGACGCACAAGAAAGCGAGCGATGGCACTCTCACCCTGGTCGGCAGCGTCGATGCACCTTCGGCTGGTGATCATCCTCGATGGGTAGAGATTCACCCTAGTGGACACTATCTCTACGTGTTGATGGAGGCTGGGAATAGGCTGGGGGTGTATGTGATTGATGAGACGACCCATCTCCCCGTCTTCACCCAAGACCTTTATCCGCTTGTTCCGCCAGGTACGTGTTTGATGCTGTGACTTGTATGGCAAACTCCCGCGAGAACTAACGAGAAGCAGGTGTGCGAGATCTCAAGAAGATGTACAGGTCGGATGTGGTATTCTGTTCGCAAAGTGGCAGCTATCTCTTCGCAACCGCCCGCTCGAACTCATTCAGCGTGACTGGGTACATCAGCGCCTTCAAGCTTGGACCACAAGGCCAGATCCAGAAACAGCTGTGCATCAGTCCAACGCCTAACAGCGGCGGCCACTCCAATGCAGTGAGTCCTTGTCCCTGGACGGACGAGTGGTTGGCTTTGACGGATGATCAAGACGGATGGGTGGAAATATACCGGTGGCACGACGAGTATCTCTCGCGAGTGGCTCATCTGGACATCAAGGAGCCCGGCTTCGGCATGAATGCCATTTGGTACGACTAGATCTGAGGTTATCGTAAATATGGCAGTTCCACTAGATGACCCTCATGGCGGATAAAAAGTCTTCCGCCGCGGTGCCCCCGGTAATATTTCGCCTTTCTTCGTACGAGATTCCCGAAGACCGTGTCTTTCAACCCCACAGGACAGATCCGATGCAGTTGGTCAGCCACTGGTTACGGGGGATCGTAGGCACGCCATGGCATAGGCATAACTCGTAACTCGAGGCATCAAACTTCGGCAAATGCTTCGTCCCTGAGGCGCCCACTTCCCGAAACTCATCTCGCCCCCCATTGGCCTCCCATGACGGACCTCTAGGATTCCACCATAGGTATGGGTTAAGCTGACTTGTTCCTCCTTGTGAATGTGCACAGGGCGACAGGTTCTCCTGAGCAAGTTGAACATTCAATTGTGGCTTGTCGTGCAACTGGGAACCACGGAAGGTGCAAAGGCTGAAGAACCTGCCACCAGGGAAAGAACGACCCAACAAACCCCCACTTGACTATCACCATCTCGTCAAAGTGCAACCTGGAAGAGACTGGTCTATCTCACTCTTGGGGTGACTCTTCCACATTGTCTTGATTCATTACCAGACGGGACCTTTGTGAGTTGCCGTCATGCCTTCCTCAAACCCCGTCCGGGGGCTGCTGTTCGTAACCATGCAGCCCAAGGAGACACTATCGCTCGATCTCTTCCATGACTGGTACAACAACGAACATGGCCCCAACCGAACTCGCCTCTCTTTCATGCCTAATGGGTTTCGATATCGAGCGACAGACCTGCCAGGTCCCAATGCCGGCACTCGTGAGCAGCCCGAGTTCCTGGCCATCTACGATGCTACCGACATGCACCAGTTCACCGAACAGCCGTACCAGTATCTGCGGGCGCCGCCGGGAAAAACCCAACGAGAGATCGATGTCATGGCCCAGATCTGGGTGGATCGGTTGACGCTGGATTTTGTCGGCGAACGGATCAACGACAAGACATTTGTCAAACTCGAATCACCTGAACATTTCCGGGAGAACGAGCAAGGGAATGTCCTAACTACCCTCAGATTACTCCTCGACGCGGACCAAGTCTCGAGCGTTGGGACCTGGATTCAGACCACGGTGCTCCCAAAGGTGCAAGGCGTCCCCGGCTGGAGGAGGACGTCGTGGTACAAGACGTCGTATCTCGAATCACGCCAGGACGGCAAGGTCGATTTTGTCCTGATCAACGAATACACGCCGTCCACCGACCCCAAAACACTACCCTCGACGCTTGAAGCACTACCCGTGGAGGTTTCGCAGAGCAAGGCACGCACGTATGAACTCTTCTACACGTTTGGAACAGCAGCACGTCACCTGGCAATCGTAGCACCGTGGACGTCTCCAGATGGAGTCACCAAGACGCTACCAAAGGTCTCCCCCTACGGCTCGGCTATAGAGTCGACCGTCACGACCCGCGATGGTGCAGTCCTGCCCTTCCGCCTTGAAGGCAACTCCGACCCCAACGCCCCCGTGCTGGTGCTGGTCAATTCGGTCCTCACGACCTGGGGAATCTGGGACGCATTCCTCGTGCACTTCTTTGCTCATCAGGAGAACCAGAGATACCGCGTCCTCCGCTTTCTGGCCCGTGGCAGGGTCGTCCCCAGTGGCACAATCAGCCCTGTAACCGTTGACCTGCAAGCGTCCGACGTCATTCAGCTACTAGACGCCTTGCGTATCCCTCAAGCGGCCGGGCTCGTGGGCGTGTCCATGGGCGGCGTCACTGCTCTGGCAACGGCGCTCCAGTACCCGGCACGGATCAAGGCCTTTGTCGCGTGCGACACGTCTGCGAAGTCACCGGCTGGCAACAAAGAGACGTGGGGCCAGCGAATCGCCGTGGCCGCGAAGGAAGGCACCAAGCTCCGCCTGACATCTCTGTTCGGCGACGAGTCCGCGGACGATGCTGCCGGTAGTCCGCCACAGCCGGTCGTGGGCGAGGAGCTTGCCGAGATGACAGTGCGCCGATGGTTCGTGCCCGAGTCGTACGCCGACCCAGCGCTGGTGCCGGAGATCGCCCGCGTCAAGCGCATGATCTACACCAACTCTCTGCCCGAGTTCGAGCGCGGCGTCGAGACCCTGTTCAACTACGACTACACACCTCTCCTGCCCGGGTATCAGGGCCGAGGCGCGTTTCTGGTCGGTGCCGGCGATGGCGTGCTCCCTCAGGGCATGGAGAAGCTGTCCCAGCAATTGGGCTCGGCGGCAGGGAAGACGGCCGCGTTCAAACTCGTCCAGGGCGCGGGCCATCTACCCATGGTGGAGAAGCCCAAGGAGGTTGCCGACTTTGTGGGGGAGTTTTTGAATGCTTCTTAACCCAGCACCAGTCGCATGGCCCTGTAGATCTGTAGATCCGGGAAAGGAGAGATTTTGACGACTTAGAACAATATGTTGCGTGTCACAGCCTCGCCGTGGTGTTTACCATGATCATACCATACACAATTCTGGGACATTCGGTTCATTTCTGCATTTATATCTGCGACCACGCATCGCCTTTTTTTCTGGTTACCTCATTTTCCGTCTTCTCTCGTCATCATCGTCATCCTCCTCGTCTTCTATGCCGGAAAGCCCATAATCACGCGCCCCTCCCCCCTGCCAGACCAGCCGTTGCATGTTGTTGAGTTCACTTGAAAGCTTCTTGACCAAACCCTGCTCCCACGCCTAGCCGAAGACGACAGCTTTGCGACCCCCTGACTGACGCTGACGCTGATCAATCGCCTCATAATAGTAATAGTAGCACATTGATTCTAGATTATAAAGAGTTTTCATGTGACTGGTGTCCCTGTCGATACCTTCTCAGTAAGCCATGTGTCTAAATTGAGCTGTGCGGCCATGTCCAAGTTGAGCCTGCAGCCATGACGGAAGCGACTCAACGTAGCAACGCTGCTTTTTGTAAGTGCTCACAAAGTTCGTTGGGATAACCCAGGCAGGGCCTTGAATGGTCGTAGTAGAGGAGCTCAGCCTAAAAGGATCGATTTCTTCTCTTACCGACAGAGGTTGGTGTTGTGCCATCCGCACCTGAGGAGGCCGTCTCAATCATAGGGCGGCATCACACTCGCCCCGATCCGGAGGCCGCTGCGAGCTCCTCTTGGCAAATCTGCCGCTGAACTCCAGAGGTGAACGGCTCAAACCACCTTATCAGTCACAGGCCATGTCGATTGAGACAGTCCGACTGTGTAAGATATTCTCTCGTTCCAGAACATCGGCGTCCTGCTAACGTGGAGAACAGGTCAACGATGCGGACTGTACGACTAGGAGTCATTGTGCCCTCGTCAAATACTGCCCTGGAGCCGCTGACAAATGCAATCGTCTCGTCGATACCTTCGGAGAATCTAACGATCTCGGTGCACTTTTCTCGGTTTCGTGTCACCACGATCGATCTCACTCCAACGGCGAGCGCTCAATTCGTGTTTGAGCCCATATTGGCCGCTGCCAGGCTGCTAGCGGACGCCAATGTCGATGTGATTGGCTGGAGCGGCACATCGGCGGGTTGGCTGGGCTTCGACCACGATGAGAGACTGTGCGCTGCCATCGAGGCCGACACGGGCATCAAGGCCACAACGTCTGTCCTCGCACTCAACGCGCTCATGCGCAGCCTCGGTGTGACCTCGATAGGGCTGGTGACTCCGTACATCAAGGGTATGAACGATGCGATACGCGCTAATTACGCGGCCATTGGGATAGACATCAGCGCGAACTGGGAGCGCCATCTGGGCATCACGGACAACAATGAGATTGTGCGCGTCGACGAGAGCACTCTGGACGAGATGGTCGTAAACGTGGCCGCCAACGGCGCGCAAATCCTCACAACATTCTGCACCAATCTCCGGGCAGCTCAGCGCGTCGAGTACTGGGAGAAGTCGCTGAGGGTTGTTGTGCTGGATTCTGTCAGTACGACGGTTTGGGGAATGCTGAAGGTGGTTGGGGTAGACACGCGGCTTGTCAAGGGATGGGGGTTTATGTTTGAAGTTGACTGATTCAGAGGGTCAGAGAAGTACATAGAGGTGCGCAAGGCTGTGGCGCAGCTCGGCAAGGCTGGGCGGTTTCTTGGCGAACCGTTGCTAGGAAACGGGTGGCCCGGCCATTTCGGGATCCCCAAAACACGCCGCGAACTGCAGCCCGTCCCATCATTGGGGGCTCTCTCGCATATTCGTATGCAACCACCCTGCTTGTTCACCACTCCTTACAAACTCTGTACCACGCATAGCTAATCGCAATTTTGACGACTCTTGATCCAACTTTTGCATCTGTGTTATACACTACGACCAAAAGACCATCAATACATTACTAGGGGCTGGCACGATGCCGCCAGGCACTGCGTCGGAACTGGGTGCCCCTCCATCTGTGCCGTTGAGCTGTAGGTAACTGCCATCACGGGCATCTGAGCCAGGACTAATTGCTGAGCCGACAGTTTCAAACAACTTCTGGGGACGAGATGACGCCGGCGTCGACCCCCTCCTTACCCGCATGCAAAATGCCAAAACCACCTGCGACGAACTGAAGGCCTTTTACAATGCACGAGCCGCGTTGGAGGAAGATTACGCAAAGAAGCTGCTGAGTCTATCGCGGAAGCCCCTGGGGAGCGTCGAACAGGGAACCTTGCGGGCGAGCTTGGACGTCGCCAGAGGAGAGACCGAGTCCATGGGCAAGCAGCATGCCCTGATCGCCCAGCAAATGAGATCCGAGCTCGAGGAGCCGCTGGCAGCATTTACGGGCGGGATCAAGGAGCGTCGCAAGATCGTACAGAACGGGATCGAGAGACTGCTGAAAACGAAACAAGCACAGACCGCCCACGTCAACAAATGTCGAGACAGGTACGAGCAGGACTGCCTGCGCGTCAAGGGTTATCTCGCTCAGGGCCACATGGTCATGGGGCAGGAAGAGCGGAAGAACAAAGCCAAGCTCGAGAAGACGCAGATCAACATGGCCACTAACTCGAATGAGTATGAAGCCGCCATCAAGGTGCTGGAGGAGACGACAGGCCGGTGGAACAAAGAGTGGAAGGCCGCGTGCGACAAATTCCAAGATCTCGAAGAAGAACGCCTCGACTTTACAAAGTCGTCTCTTTGGGCTTTTGCCAACATTGCCTCCACGGTGTGCGTCTCGGACGATGCATCCTGTGAGAAGATCAGACTTGCACTGGAGAACTGTGAGGTTGAAAAGGACATTTCCTGCTTTATCAAAACGTGCGGGACGGGCCAAGAGATCCCCGATCCTCCTCGATACATCAACTTCTGTCGAGGCGACGTGGATACGGCATCTGAGGTGTCGGAAGATGAGAACTACTCCGTCGCCCAGTTTTCACGGACCACGAATCCCGCGTTTAGATCATCTTCGCCAACTCATTCAACCTCCACAAAACCCAGATCCAGCCAAACTCCTGAGCGGCAATACTCGGAAGAACCAACAAGACCAGAGGAGGACGATATGCCGACACCGTCTAATGGAAACAGTGGACGGCCCCCGCCGCTGAACTACAAGCATCCAGGACCAAATGTGCCCCCGAACTACTCACCCAGTCAACATGGCGACGTGCCGCAAGTGCCACACAATCAGTATCCGACTGATGGCATGACCATGTTCTGCAGAGCCGACGTCCCCTCGGCTGCAAGTTCTGCTGTATCCTCGAACACTCGCCCCGACAGCAGGGACGACATAAGTGAGTATTCTGCACCAAGCTCGTTCACGAGTGCGGAGCTTAGCTCTGGCGCTGCTTCACCTACCAAAGGACCCCCCGTCAACGGCGTTGAATTGCCTGGAATGGCGTCGCCTGAGAAATCCGTCCAGAAGAAGAGGTCTGGTTTCTTCTCCAACAGTCCCTTCCGCAGAAAGTCCAGGAAAGAGCACGAACCTCCTCAGCATATCAGCAGCTCCTCCAACCGCAATACTTGGAACGGAGCCTCAGCTACCAGCACTCGCATAAATCTCAATCCCACCGTGACCAGCGCGCAGTCGAGCCCTAACAAATCTTCGGCCCGTCAAGCACCCAGCTACTTCAACAGAAACGCAGTAGACATGGCACCCGAAGGCGAAGAAGCCGCTGACCCTCGAGCAAGCTTCCAGTTGAGTGTGGGCAACAATGTCTTCGACGTGGCCAGCCCTGACGGTGCTCAAGATTCAACGCCCAAAGCAAGCACCGCAAATAGGCGCAGCCAATTCATGCCGCCACCGTCGGTGGCAGGCAACGAGCTGATGCACGATCCTATAGCCCAAGCACTGGCAGATCTCAAGTTGACCGCCGGTGCTTCCACGGCGATGGCCAAACAATCAAGTACACGGGTAGCGGTGGATCGGTATCACGGAGTGACAACCCCTGCACCTGACCAAGAACCAGCTACTCGACCAGGAGTACTGAGTGCTGAGAGTCAAGCCCGTCTGGCTGCACAGAGAGGAACACCTCCACCTGCCTACGACACTGCCGGCCCAGCATCTATGGCAGGGGGGAGAACGCAGAGCGCTCTTGGAGTCCCTCAGCCAGCACATACTAAGAGAGAGATGCTTAATCGCACCGAGACGTGGGGCACTAGGGGAGGGCCCCCTCAGCCTCAGCCATCAAGACCGGGTACAAGAGATGGGCGGAGGAGTCCTGGACCAGGGATGACGAGAGCGGCAAGTCCTCAACCTCAACCTCAAAGCCAACATCCTCCCCGTGCCAGAAGCCCGGCTCCCGGCGTCATCCCCCGTGCTGTGAGCCCTCAACCACAACAGGCCCAGAGATATCAGCCGAGGTCGAGAAGTCCAGCACCTCCCATGGCCCCGAGAGCGGCAAGTCCGAACCCGGCCATGATGTCAGGAGGACGACCAGGGGGTCAACAATATCGTGCAGCCTCGCCGAATCCTTATGGGGGATCACGAGGTCAAGCCTCAAGACAAAGTACTGGCATGGAGATGCAATTGAGCAATCAAGATCCGGGGCGTTACGACGGAGCTGGTGGCAGTGGACGAAGTCGCCAGGGCATGATGCGGCCCAACTCTAGTTTTGGCGGCGATCGGTATGCGCAGCAACAAACTCAGCAGCAACAGTTCCAGCCTCCATCGCAGGGGTATGATAGCCGGCAAAGGGGCGGAGGTGCAAATGGAGGGGGTATGGATATTGAGCTGAGGCGAGAGAGGAGCAAGAGTCTCGCGGCGATCCCGTACCGAGCAGGTGCTCCTCCAGAGCAACGTCAGCAGCGGGTATTGCATTATGGTAAGTCAACAATGACCCGTCAGATTTTCGAGTAGAAATTTCGCTTCGAAAACAACTTGCTAACGATAGTCTTTATAGCGAGGGCAATGTACAGCTACACGGCGGCGATCCCCGAAGAGCTGTCCTTCTCCAAAGGCGACATTCTCGCAGTATTGCGACTCCAGGACGACGGATGGTGGGAGGCAGAGGTGAAGGAGAGTGCGAGGGGGATGAACGTAGGGGGAATCGGATTGGTGCCCAGCAATTACTTGCAACGGTGCTGATTTCGAATCTCTGGCAAGGTGTAGATAACGCAAAGTGCTACGGTGGCCGACATGACCCAGATATGAGTATCTGCTTGGTTGGATATTATCGGATCGGGATCAGGTTTGTACGATATTCGACACCACCACCGCGGGAGTTGGGGCTTGATCTGGTTGGCGCTATCTGGATTCGATTGATCGGGTCGACCGGTCCTTGAGCATGCGAGCTGTTGTCTGTACCTAACTACCTATTTACCTAGGTATGTACTCGCTGCGCGGACCATAACACGAGATTTGGGTAGCGGTCAATGATATGAATGGTCAAGTCGAGTCAGATCAGGTCTAGACGAGACGAGATCAGACGAGGCGAGGCGAGGCGTGGCGATTCTACTAGGTACTGACTGACTGGCTGACTGACTGACTGACTGGTAATAATGTCTTTTCACTGTCTAGTCGTTCGTTGTATGGTAGGGTAGTAGGGTAGGTAAGGTAGGGTAGATATACCTCCTCGTACGAGTGAGAATACGAGTGTACGGTAGACTGACCACAACGGAATTGATTGATATCGTCGAACTGAAAAGCTACTAACTACCTAGCTAGCTATGTATCTCGCTCAACTTGTGTAGACAGACGGGTTCTGGATCTGGATCTGGATCTGGATTCGGATTCTCGAATCCTGACAGACAGACAGACAGAGGTATTTCTTGAATCTCTGTTGTTTGTAGTGCGTTGCGTTGAGTTGCGTCGTGTCTTTGGTCCTTGTCCATCTGAGCCTCTTCTCTCTGTCTCTGTCCGCCTCGGGGTCCTGGACTGACTCGGATTGTGGGCAAGTGGCAGTGGCCAAGTCTCTTTCTTGTTCCTTGCCCTTCTTAGTGACAAAGGTATCGTGTACCGAAGTGCGAGTGCTCGTGCTAAGGGAGAACCTGTCCCTGTTCGAGTCATGCTGAACGTCTCGTCCCGGCCGGTCTAGGGGTCTTGAACATGACCCTGATCACCGCCCTGGGCTTGACCCTTATTCTTATCTTGACCCGGGCCCTGAGCCTGATTCTGACCGTGGTGATGGTGACCGTGACCAGTCGCATCAGTGTCGCATTTATTGTTGTCGTCGTTGCTGTTGTTCTTGTTGATATTGCTTGCAGTATCCGGCGTCAGCTTCAAGAACTTGCACCCGCTTGCATCGTCGGTGCTACCGCTGTCCTTGGAGTTTGGCGCGGTAATGTAGCCATCGAGCATCCGTTTTGCCGCTGATGATGATGCATTACCAACGGCGCTTGGTCGCTCAACGGGGATGAGTTTCAAAAAGGGCATTTTGCTCTCCCTCTCTTAGTCTCTGTCTCGGTCGATCTCGCGTATGTGTGTATGCTGGCTCTTTCTTGTTCTTCCCTCTCCTCGTTTCATCCGTGGTGCGTGGTATTGCTTGCACCCAAGCGATGACGAGCTCTGTCAGTGTCTGGTAGCTTCTCGGATCCTTGTCGTTCTGTGGTGGCGTCGACAGACAGGTAGGCAGCACGGTCAAGCTCAAGATCTGTCGGCGACAAAAATGGCACAGACAGAGGGATAACTTGAAGAAAACCCTCAAAATCTTTCTTCAACAAGAGGTGTTCCCATGCCGGGTGCAGAGCAGTGAATGGTTGTCACCAGCACGCAGGCAGGGAGTGGCGCTTCATACACAATATGTGTCACGGGGCAGTGGAATTCCCCACGCGGATATTTCTCGTGTGTGATTGTGTCACTGCGCTGGTATATTCAAGGCCAGGACCTATCGAAACAGCAGAGTCCAGATAATGCCGCCTCCAAACATGCCGGCTACGGTGATGTAGCTGCTCAAGCCCATGGTGGCCATGCCGGAGATGCCGTGTCCACTGGCACATCCACCGGCCATTCTCGCGCCGAATATCATGGTGAACCCCCCAACAAGAGCGGCAAGGGGGTTGATGACTGGCCCTCCCGCCTCAGACGCTGCCGGTATGAATTGCGAAATGATTTTTGCGCCGCCGATGACACCACTGGCGAAGACGATATTTGACAAGCCAGGCCCTGCGGTCCCGTCCACGACACTCCAGATATACTTTCCAATATCTTCATAGGCACCCGATACACCCAGGGTCTTCCGAGTAAACAGGACCGAGGTCGCTTGCGCCACGCCGATGAGAAGGCCACCGATGATAGGGTTGAGCCAGTAATCCCTAGTAGGTCCCAGGTACGTTGCAGCACCGATCATGACGAGACACAGTGTCTCATACAAGAGAATCATCGAGTTGGTGGACAGGCCGAGCTTCTCCTGCACAGAATGCGGAGCAGGACCGGCTGAGGCGGTCGCAGGTGTCGTTCGTTTGATATGCTGCGCCGACTTGACAAAGGCTATCGCTCCCAAGATACAGCCAGCGGCAACGGCCGGTGCAGATTTCACACCCATCGCCAGCTGCACAAGGACAGTGCCTGGACAGGCGCCAGTCAAGGCCATGCCGATACCGTGCAAAAGTCCGCCAATGAGGTTTGCATCGTATTTCATGAACCAGCCGTACGACGAGTCCGACCGAGGCGAGAGTTTGGCGTACTTTGCTCGATTCGCCCAGTAAACGATCAACGCACTGCAAGCGCTGGCAGCGATGAAGCTCTTCATCATATGGAAATTGCCCAGCTGGAGTTGTGTGATGATGACAGAGGGCGAATATACTCCCGATGCAGCCAAAGCGGCACCGAAGATGCCGCCACTTGCAGCGCTCATCAAAAGGGAAGACATGGCTGATGGTCTCTATCTGTCTGTGTGCTAGGAATTGGGACGATTGAACTCTTGCTGGGAAGCCCGGGAATACGAGCAGTCGTTGGAATTTGGAGACATGTTTTCGAGATATCTGGAAATGCTTTTTTGCCTCTGCGTGGCTTGCCAGGGCGAGGCTTGGAGCCCGAGAGTAGCAATAGAGCCCGACATTGATGCTGCTAGGCTCACGCTAAAGCAGGACCCAGCAGCTCACCACGAGGTCAGTTTAGCTTTCCAATTCCCCCCAATTTTGTAGCATTTTGGTCAGTGGTGGAAAATAGCCTTCCAGTCCCCGAGGACGCCGTCAAAACCCACCTTTTTTGATGAATTTTTTGGGGCAAGGGATACTGGTCCCCATGGCTCACATCATGATTCAGAAGGATAGTCAGCTAGGACGATCGAGGTCCCCGTCAGGAAAGGAGAAGGATCCAAAGTCTCAAGCGATCCCCCGAAGAGACCGATTGTCCATCAGAGACGGCGATGCAGACGGGTTCTTGCCATCATTTGGCGTGTATACGATCCGCGTCATAGACTTTTTGCTTGCTCCTGGGCGCTGGGTAGGGCTTCTCGCTTAGGTATTGGGCGCGGGGAGTAGTTGGTGGGAGAGCACGTAGGGGCAAATTGGTCACTCTCGCCCTTCGTATTCGCGCGGGGCATCGTGTGGACTGAACAAAAATAAACACTCGCTCGGCGACTTCGGTAAAAGGGGGTGCCTGGAATGGCTTGAGGTGCGACGGAAGTGGTAAAAGGTCTTTGGGCATGGTTGGCTACCCGTGATTCGGTGTTAAGAGAGTTGAAGTGAAGGGAGAAGATGATCTGAGGCTGGAAACAAGATGAGAAGGCCTGGTGGCCTTTACGGTGACCTGCAGGGGAGGGTCAATAGGTGGGACAACGCTGGTCTTGATTCCCCTGCAACATCACCACATGCACTTGTATACCTGACGTCGCGTAATGTCAAACCTGCGGAGGGGTATGTCGACCATCAGACAGCTTGAGAGACCTCATCGCCTGTTCATCTTTGTTGATGCTTGATACGAAAGCTGTGTGAAGCATGTACTGTGCAAGGGGCCGGATGCTGCCCTGCGCCACGAGATCTGATCTGTATGATCGCTGATCATCCCAGCAAACCCGATCGGGTCGCCTTACAGCACATACATCTAGGCCCGAAACGAGGCAGTCATACTTTTATATCGTCATCGAACCTCCAGAGAATATGGTCAAGCTCAACTCCCAGAATTTAAGTCACCATCTTGTTGTCTACCGAGGACGTCTCTTTCAATGGCTGCGAAAATCAAGTTGAACGTCCAGAATTTCCCACGCCCTCCCTTGCTGGAGAAAACACCAAGGCACTTGGTGCTGAGATGGAATGGACAGACCCTGGCCGACACCAAATCGGCGTACTGGGTCTTGGAAACTACACATCCTCCAAGTGAGTCCAGTCTTGCTCTGGAAGTATTAGGCACCTACGGGGAATACATCCCTGTCCAGCCGAGTCACAATTGACAAAGAATGATCCCCTCGTGCAGCCTATTATCTTCCCCGAAACTCCGTCTCGGACTCCTTCAAGCTCACCCAGGTCCCCGAGAAGGCATCGCTCTGTGAATGGAAAGGCCGAGCCACATATTGGGACTTGACGGACAAGTCGACAGGCCAGACGGTTACGAACAAGATCTGGAGTTATGAGTCGCCAACCCCGGCTTTCACAAGCATCAAGGGATATTTGTCCTTTTATGCCAGCGGTGTGCCGTGGGAATGCTTCGTCGACGATGAGAAGGTCGCTCCCCAAGAAGGTGAGCAACTGACTGAAACCACGTGGCGGCCGAATCTGATCCCCCTCTTTTATAGGCGACTATTATGGTGGATGGGTAACCAGTGAGCTCGAGGGGCCCATGAAGGGAGGCCCTGGCACATGGGGTTGGTAGTTGTTAAGGGTTACCAAGTGTCCAATGCACTATGAAGATGTCATTTCTACCACCACAGTATATGCACTCTCATGTGTCTCATCCAGCTCTTGTCTGCGAAGGGCACGGTGCAGCTTCTTCTGGTGTCTTGGAGATCATGTTACGAGCCCGTGAACGTATCAGATTGCGGGTCGGTGCGATAGTTCCTGCGCAGAAGGAGGAAATGGGGGTTTCTCTAGGACGGTTGCCAGCATTAGTGGTTGGGATGACTTCGCACATCCGGCACAAGCGCCCTTTCGCGCACGCATTCCAGGGGTCAGCGGTTGTGATGCTGCCTTCAAAACTGCAAGTCGAACAGACAAGCAAGTAAGGAATCATCGTACTGGTGATTCCATAAAGTGAAAGAAGCGAAAAGGGCTGAGATCTCCGCTGCCACAAGCAAGGATGTCCCAGTGCTGCAAAGCAATGCGGGAAGAAGTGACTCGCTGCCGCAGTGCTCGATACACTAGATTGACGCTTTTCCCTTTTCGACGCGGAGGTCTCTCCCTCCGATGTGCAACTGTGTACTAGCCCCTCCGGTATAAATTCTCCGATTGGATTCTCGGTTAACCTCGCTATACCGTCATAATCCCTCCCACCACATCTCCATGCCACTTTCGATGCCTTCCGCCTCGCTCAATGCGGGTAATTGATGGTAGACTGGGTCATGCGTTGCTCATCTGCGCTTTAGTATTGCTCTGTGACAGAGATTCTCGCGTCGCGGCATTGCCTCCGTTGTCAGATCCAGTGGGTGAAGTGGATTCTTTTCTTTGATCCCTACGAGGTCGTACGCCGTGTTGCGTGGCGGTTGGAACCTTTTCAGTTCCCCAATTCCCCTGCCGGAGCTTCTCTCTTTCCATGCTTAAAGAATTCTAGAAGTCTTTCCGGTAGCAGATAACTTCCTGCCTTATTGCTTCTTCTTGTGTAGTTTCTCTTTTTTTTTCCCCTTCTTTCAAGGTAACAATACGGTTTTTAGAAGCCCATGGGGGACATGTCCGGGTTCGATGACATGTTGGTGCCGATGGAGGTCGTGGACTTATCCCTGGGGTGGTCATTTAAACAGAGTGATGATGTTGGTGGAAATGCCTGGTATCCGGTCAAGAAGGTCCCTTCCACCGTGCACCAGGATCTGATCGACAACAAGAAGTGTGTAATGTGGCATCCCCCGACAATCGGCCAAAGCTGATGTAGACACCCACCAGACTGGATGACCCCTTTGTCGGATTCAACGAGATCAAGGCAGAGTGGGTAGGGTTGAAATCATGGACCTACCGGACCAGGCTCGTCAGCCCCTCGGTGCCGCGAGGCTCCAAAGCCGTACTGGCCTTTGATGGCCTGGACACGTTTGCTCATGTCAAGCTAGATGGCAGAACCATCCTGGAAAGTGACAACATGTTCCTGCCACACCGAGTCGACGTCACAGAATTCATCCAATCCACATCGGATCACAGCTTGGAGATCGAATTCGAACCCGCCTTTCTGAAGGCCAGGGAAATCAAAGATCAGCATCCGGAGCATAAATTCATTTGTTTCAATGGTGACTCTGCACGTTTGGCCGTGAGGAAAGCACAGTATCACTGGGGCTGGGATTGGGGACCTCTGCTGATGTGTGCTGGCATCTGGAAACCTGTTCGTCTGGAGATATATTCCATTAGGATAGCCGATCTGCGGACCGACATCACCATCTCAGACGACCATAAGCTCGCCACAATCCAGGCCTCGGCCGAGATTGAAGGACTCGAGGACCAGCATGGCCATGTCAGAGTCGACTTCGCCGTCAGTCTGGGAGATACCAAGATTCTGTCACGCCAGGCAAGCCTCGTGTCGGGGAAGAGGACCACTGCCCACCTTAAAGTGTCCGATCCGCAGTTATGGATGCCCAACGGGTATGGGCAACAGCACCTGTACTCTGTGAGTGTGACGATTTCGACGACTGAGGAGATGGTGTTGCACCGTGAGTCTCGACGTATCGGTCTACGCAAGGTGGAACTCGTCCAGGAGCCAGACTCTCATGGAAAGTCGTTTTATTTCCGGGTCAACGATGTCGACGTCTTCTGCGGTGGCTCATGTTGGATTCCCACCGATAGCTTCTTGACAAACGTCACGCCCGAGAAGTATCGAGCATGGATCGAGCTGATGGTGCCCGCGAACCAGAAAATGATCAGGTAATACAGAACAAAACTTCATCCACCCCGAAACCGCCCGACCGCTACTTATTTCTGTCGTCCTTTGGTGGAATTTGAAGCTAACGGGTGTGGTCTAGGGTCTGGGGGGGAGGGATTTACGAAGACGACGCCTTCTACAACGCCTGCGACGAGTTGGGGATCATGGTGTGGCAGGATTTCATGTTTGGTTGCGGCAACTATCCCTGCTTCCCGGAAATACTCAAGTCGATCGAGGCCGAGGCCGTGGCCAATGTTCGACGAATCCGCCATCACCCGTGCGTGGTGATTTTCGCCGGGAACAACGAAGACTACCAAGTGCAGGAGTCTGCCCATTTGACCTACGACTATGACGACAAGAACGAGGAACACTGGCTAAAATCGGATTTCCCAGCACGCTACATCTACGAGTCACTACTGCCGAGAGTTTCTGCGGCGGAGGCGCCCTGGATTTCATATCATCCGGGATCGCCATGGGGGGATGGCAAGATCAGCTCGGACCCCACGGTCGGGGACATGCATCAGTGGAATGTCTGGCATGGGACGCAAGAGAAGTACCAAATCTTCGACTCGTTGGGAGGACGATTCAATTCCGAGTTCGGCATGGAGGCATTCCCGCACGTTGCAACCATCAAGTCGTTTGTTGAGAAGGATGAGGATCTCTATCCGCAGAGTCATGTCCTAGATTTCCACAACAAAGCCGATGGCCACGAAAGGCGAATTGCCACGTACCTAGTGGAGAATGTGAGGACCGCGACCGACCTCGAGGCATACATCCACCTCACCCAGCTGATCCAATGCGAAGCTCTGATGTTTGGCTACCGCGGCTGGCGGAAACAATGGGGGGACGGCCGACACTGTGGAGGAGCGCTGGTGTGGC